AGAGGGGGGGGGGGGGGGGTTGAAGAGAGATGGAAAGGTGAAAAAGAGGGAGAGGAGGTGTCAGAGAATTGTAGTGGAGAGTAGTAATTAATAGTGTTATCTGTCAGTTGTAGTGAGGTAATATAATATATTTTAATATTTATTTTATTTAAAAATTACAAAATTTAAAAAATTTAAAAAATTTAAAAAAAATTAGGAATACGCAGATGCAGATCCCATCAATGATATTTCCAGTGCTGATCCTCATTTCTTTCTGTTCCCACCACTTTCCCCTTTTCACCCTCCCTTTCTACCTCCCCTTTCCCTTTTCACCCTCATTAATTACTTTTTACTCATTTACCTTTCATTTACCTCTCTCCCTCCGTTCATTGGATTATATTCAATTTTTACCTCAAACCAAATTATTTTTATTTATTTTTAAAAATTATTAAAGAATAAATAATTATAAAAGTAAATAAAAATATGAATATTATATTTTTAAATTAACAATAATTTTGAGCTCGTTCATGAACCAATTCAATCCATAAAGTTTTTATTTATTTGAACCCAACACAAATCCGACCATATGAGTTAGATTGGGCTGATTGGGTTTATCGAGTCATCGAATTTTTTCTAATATTCCTAATTTAATTATCATCCTTTCTACCTCTCTTTTTAAAATTCTTGAAACTTATCTCGTTATTTTTATTTTAACTATTATTTTCAAAATTAAATTCGGACTAACTTTGAAATGACAGTGGCAATGTGATGTCCCACATTAGTTGGGAAGAAGAACAAAACATCATTTATAATAGTGTGGAAACCTTCCCGTAGCAGATACGTTTTAAAGTTTTGAGGGGGAGCTCAAAAGAAAAAAAATCAAATTTTTATTTATTATTATTATTTATTTATTATTTTTGTGGATCTCGAAGATCTGGTTTATTTATTACATATGCTCACATAATGGCATTCTATTATGGGCAATAAATTTGAAATTTTACGTGTCTTACATGTTTGTCACATATTCAAAATTGGTTGGACCTTATTTGTATCATGGTTGTGTATAATAAGCATCTCGTAATTGATAAGGTAGATGTCTATCTTTAAAAGGCAAGAGGAGTTAAGAGACCCGGTATTCGTCCATCCATCCATCGTAGACTTGATGCTTTTCTTAAGCTCAAAATGAAAACAACAATAAATTCATTTTAAGTCCGATAGCTACTATTTTAAATTTGAAAACTTTCAATATCACAGATAAATTAACGATCGTCTAAGCAAGTAATTTTATGAAATAAACTGCTTGCAAAGCTGTCATTATAACTAATCGACCTTTGACAAATAACAATTGTTCAATGAACGTGAATTATCCTATCAAATTTTATTTTACCCTTTTTTGAACTCAACACGAGACTCATCAGACAAACCATAATAAAATTAGCATCAGCGCTCCCCTAGAGCAGGTCAATAGATTTTATTTTATTTTATTTTTTGTTGAGTAAAAAATAAATAAAAAATAAAACATAGTGGAGGAAAAGATGCGATGCCAATAGAGACGGAAGTGAGGTAAAAGTCGAATCTTATTTACTTACTTACAGCCTATGGAAAGGTGAATGTCCTTTCACCATTCGGTAACTTCACGTCCCTAAATCATTAATATTGATTGCACCACACCTAATTATTAATATATATATATATATATTATTAGGTTAAATTAATAAAAATAATTTTATATTTTATATTTTATTTAAAAAAATTTAAAAGCATATTAAAAAAAAAACTCTCTTTAATTTTTTTTACGGCAAATATATGGATTGAACCTATCTATCGACGCTTTAATAGATTATTTACGAACGTCTCTGTAAAAAAAAAAAAATATATATATATATATATATTTTAATTTAGAGGTGTTTTTTTTTTTTAAGTTTTTAAAATTATTTGAAAATTTTTAAATATACAAAATAAAGTAATATTAAATAAAAAAAAAAAGTATAATTTTGTGATATATTTATTTGATAAGTTAAATTAGAGCACGAGGTTTGAATTGGTGGGTCCCAGGTTCCGAGTCAGAGGGAGTGATAAATGATAATACACATAGAGATACGTCATTGTGCGGTGCGGTTCAAAGCTGGGAGGTCTGGGGAAGGTGGGGTCCCTCACACAAATGAAATGATTGCATTCCTTCACACGTGTAATCTCACATGCTTTTATCATTTCACAATCCCTTTTCTCTTCGCATTATTTACGGCGGGGCCGCCGCCTCTGATTGCGCGTAATCATGGATCCCATAACCTCCCAGGCCCAATCCTCCTCCTCCATTTGGGCTTTCTTAATCTACTCCATTGGGCCTCGGCCCATCTTTGTAAATCCTATCTTTGGGCCCGGCCCTCCAAATGTAGCTACGCTGCCTAGCCTTCCATCTCCTCCCTTCAATGTGTAAGAAATTATTGAAGCAATAATAGAAAGGCCCATTTATTCACTTCCTATTATACAACTACCTCTTCATTTATGCAACTAATAATAATAATAAAATTTATGTTTGTTACCTAATATTTTAAAATTTATGAGCGTTTCTAATAATTTGTAATAGCTCAAGTCCACCACTAACAAATACTGTTCGTTTTGATCCGTTACATATGACTATCGGTTTCACGGTATTAAAACGTGTCTATTAGAGAGAAGTTTCTACACTCTTATAAGGAACGTTTCGTTCCCCTCTATAACTGATGTCAGGTTTCACAATCCACCTCTTTTGAGAACCCAACATCCTTGCTAGCACACCCTCCAATGAGTAGCTGTAATATCATTTGTAACAGTCTAAGCTCACTGTTAGTAAATATTGTCCGCTTTGACCCGTTACGTATCACCGTCAACTTCTAAAATGCGTTTATTAAAGAAAGATTTTCATACCCTAATAAGAAATGCTCCATTCTCATCTATATACAAAACAGTAAATGTATTTTTTAACTTTTAAAAAAAGTTTAAAGGTAATTTAAGATTAATATTTTTTTTAATTGCATTAATTAAACTTTTGAAAGCATATGCTATTCTTGGAATTTAAGTTTTAAAGTGTTTTTTACACTATTTTAAAATTTTAAATATTTATTTAAAATAAATTAAAGGTTAATTTAGGAATAAAATATTAACTATTTCCATAATTAAATAAAGAAAACAAAAGATATCGGAATTTTATATAGATATTTTTTAGTTTAGGATATTATTAAAAAGTTTTGAAAATTAAAAGTACTTTATAGATAAAAAGTAAGAGATATTATTATTAATTTAACCTAATATATATATATATAATTGGAATTCAATGTTCCATCCAAATTAAAATGGAAAAGTCCATTCTAACTCCACCAACCCCTAATTTGTAAACAAAAAAAAATAATAAAAAATAATAATAATAATAATAAGGGTCAGATTTGGCAATGTCAACGCAACCCAGCAGAGCCCCCTGCTGATTGTTGGTATTAAATTAGGCATAGAGGAGGAGCAGAGAATGGGAAGAATATGCGATGGGAAGTGGAAGTGGAGGCCCCAATAAAGCTAACAACAAGCTAGTGGGCGTGGTCGTGGGCGTGGTCGTGGGCGTGGTCGTGGGCGTGGCCTTGGGCGTGGCTCTGTTCCCTCGATTGCATCCCCTTCTCTTTATTCACCTTTTTCCTTCACTACCCTTTTCCTCTCTTCAATAATTCCCCACTCTCCCTTTCACCCTCTCCAAATGATCGAGTTCTTCGACTACCAACACCTTCTCTGCGCCACCGATGGGTTCTCCGCCGCAAGCCTCATAGGCAAAGGCTCGCATGGCTCTGTATACAAAGCCATACTTAAAGACAACACGGTGGTTGCTGTCAAGAAGCCATTGCAGACCAACGACTATTCCAAATTGGAGAACGAAGCCAGAGTGCTGTGGTCTCTGCGCCAAACCCCTCTTGTCGTTAACTTTCTTGGCACCAGTCTCGACTCTGCTAATAACAAGCTTCTTGTAATGGAGTTCATGCCTAATGGCAGCCTCCATGATTTGCTCCTTGCTCCGGTCACTTGGCCCAAACGCCTTCAGATCATCACGCAGATTGCACGTGCGGTTGAATTTCTTCACCAAGCTAATCCTTTGGTTATTCATAGAGATATCAAGGCGGAGAATATCCTGTTTGATTCGAATTGGAATTTGAAATTGGCGGATTTTGGGTTGGCTGTTTCCCCATCGGAGCTCCGGAGCTACGCCGGTCAACCCGCCGGAACAATTGGGTATTTGGATCCTTGTTACACGACACCGAGTAAATTGAGCACGAAAAGCGACGTGTTTAGTTTTGGGGTTGTTGTGTTGGAGGTTATTAGCGGTAGGAAAGCGATGGATATCTCGAAATCGCCTGCTTCGATTGTGGAGTGGGCGAGGCCGTTGATTGAACGGAGGAATTTCGACGGAATCTACGACGGGAGGATAGCGTTGCCGGAGTATTTGGCGGGGAGGATGCGAAAAGCGGTGGAATTGGCGGGGCGGTGCGTGTGTGTGGAGCAGGGGAAGCGGCCGTCGATGGGGGAGATTTTGGAGGCCATGGAAATGGAAACTAGTTGCTGTTGCATTGAACGGTTCAAGTTCTTTCAAAACCGGGTTTGGTCGGGGTTGGCGGTGGTCGTTGGAATGAGAAGACGGCGGCGGCGGCTGAAAATGGAGGCAAATTTGAAGTGGTGCAGCAGCCGCCAAGGTGCTCCGAACTGCTGACGCGGCGGTGGTCAAGAGAGTGGGATTGGGTCAAATGTCAGAGGGTGTCGTGTCGTGTCGCTGTCGGAGAGAGGTCCAAATCCAAAGTGGACAAACCACAAAGCTCCCAGGATTAGGTACACGCACACATGACTTGCCCCTTCATGTTTCTTTTTTCCTTAATTTTAACCTTAAATTAGATAAGGACGACTCTTCACGATAGTATAATATTGTTCACTTTGAGCATAAGCGTTCGTAGCTTTACTTTGAGCTTCCCCAAAAGTCCTTAGAGAAAGTATTATTTAATTATAAACTCATGATTATTCCCTAAATGAGCAGACGTGAAACTTTTGTCCTCCAACAATCGACACCTTACCTCTCAACAATTATAAAACTTTTCGCGCATTTTAAAAATATTTATGAAGATTATTTTAATTTTTTTGTAATTTCTTTTTAAAAGTTTAAGAATAATTTTAGACAGAATAGTTGGATTCTTGTTATTATTTGTTTTGTGGCAGTTGAGAATTGAAGCATGGTTGTGAAATTGAATGGATGTAAATAATAGATTAGGCAACGACCAAATTAATTAAATACCCTTCTTTTCTTATTTCTTTCACATAATATTATAATATAAATTTTACATTTTTTTAAAAATTAGAATAAATTGGGAGTAATACTTTTATTATCAAATCAGTTTTATTAATGTTGTTCTTTTCATGGTCTCCAAAATATTTTTTATCTATAAATTATTGAAGTTTGGAATTATTTTATCTATTAATAATTATTCAAATCACGTGACTTAAAATAGGTTTATTTATTCTTAAGTTTCACAAATAAATTAATAAATAAATCACGATATCTTTACATGTTTTTGTGACGTTCATATTGTTTTTTAAAATATATATGGCTACTATTATCGATATCGACATTGATTGACATCGATACTTTCTTCGTTAGTTGTGAGTGATTGTGTGAGATCTTACATTGGTTAGAGATGGAAACGAAGCATTTTTTATGAGGTGCAAAGACGCTGGCCTCCGAGAGGTAAGGGTGTGGAAACCTCTCCTTAGTAGACGTATTTTAAAAAACGTGAAGCTGGTAGAAATGTGTAGCGGGCAAAAATAGACAATATCTGATAGTGGTGGGCTTAGATTGTTACAAATGATATTAGAGTCAGACATCGAGCGTCCCAACAAAGATATTAGCCCCAAAGGGATAGATTGTGAGATCCCAAACGTATTTTTTATGAGGGTGCGAGTACACTAAAAATACGGTCGAATGTCATAATTTGGTCAAATTGAGGCTTCTGTTCACTAAAAATCACATCCAAATAGATTCTTCTCTTGGACCATTTTGGTTCGTTTTTCATATGAATTGAGCACCAATGTAATTTTAAGCGTGGACAATTTGATTGTGTTAAGAATCAGAAATAGAATTGAGATGGAAGGTATGTTAATACCAATATAAACTAATTAAATATTGAGAATAAAATAAAATAAAATATATTATAAATCAAATTAGAAAGAATATATGATATATTCCATAAATAATATATTCTCTAAATATTATATGATTTTGGATTTTGGGTTCATGTGCATCTTTTCATTTGTCCAAGGAGTTGTTTAGAAATTTCAAAGCTATAAATTTTGAGAGAGAGGGTGTATCTTGCCGACAACAAAGATTTAAAAATTGAAGAAAAAGAGGATGTCTGCATAAAATTTTCGCAGAAAATCAGTGGACATCAAAGGATGTCAGATATATTCTTAGTCTCAATAACAACTTAATTTCTATTAGTCAATTGTATAACATAGGTTATGCGACAAAGTTTAGGGTATGAGACATGTTTGCATGTGTTTTTCTAATGTCCTTTTTCTGTCATTTTTTTTTCATTTTTCAAAGGATCCAATAACTCGTTTAAAAAAAAAAAAAATCGTTCTTGCCTCTTGTTATATTCGTTAAATATTATACTAAGACTAAAATCTAAAAAAAAAGGGCTCAACGTAAGGGTTGAGTTAGGTTGAATTTTTCAAAAACTGAAAGTTTGGTTCGTTTTTCCAGTTGAAACTTGTTTGCTCGTGTGAGACTGCACATCAATTGAAGAGGAGAACGATGCATTTTATATAAGGGCCTGAAAACCTCTCTTTAGAAGACATGTTTTAAAATCGTGAGACTGACCACGATATATAACGAGCCAAAATTGACAATATTTACTGACAGTGAGCTACAGGTCGGGTCAACCTACCCAATTAAAAAATAAAGTTCACGATCCAACCTAACGTTATTCTACATTTGAGATTGTTACAAAGATTAAGACATTATAATAAATGTTTATGATACAATGTTACTGGTAAAAGTTTAATATTTGAATTTTAGACGTTAACCCTAACCAACCAAGGTTAATCCAACCAATGTAGACACCGTCCGACTAAACCTTAAGGGTCTGAAGTCTGGTTCAGTAATACAGACTAAACCTGTAAGCCTACATGACCCCGGAACGGAACGGAAACTGAAACCTTCCCCGTCTTTATCGTGGTCTCGTCTCTCTCCCGTTGCTTGTTCATCCAGCGCCCTCTTTCGCTTCCCCCAGAGTGCTTCTCGTTCTCATCGATTCAACTTACAGGCTCTTGTCGATTGGATTGAGTTTGCGTTCGTTTGCTTGGAGGAGCGAAGGGAGAGAGGCCGAGAAAGAGACATGGAGACTCACTTTAATCACAATCTATTCGACAGGCGACCCATTCGGAAGAACACGAATTCTTCTGTCAAATGGATCAAAGAATGGTAATCTCATTCTTCACTTTCTCTTTTCCCGCCAGATTATTCTAATGTTTTACGTACCGCGATGAAGCTCTTTCTCCGCTTAGGGCTTAATTTAGGAACTATAACTATCTGATTTCGAAAAAAAATTTCTATAAGAGAAGAACTATTAATGAAAGAGATGTGTGTTGAGACACTTGCAGTTCCGTTCCGGCCTAGGCTGAAATCAAGGGATTGAATTGGGTTCTTTTTGTTTACAGTAGCATCCAAAGAATGAGAAAAACTATCAATTAGATATTCTTTTAGAAGATACAAATGAAATGCGCTCAAATGGGAGAAATTTAGAATTCTAACCATGCATGCTGATTCTTTTGTTCTTGTCAGAATAAAGAAAATACTGTCAAATGTGAAAGATGTCAAATGTGAAAGAATTGTAATATCGTATTGTATCCTTGCCTTAATGATGCTAGTTGCTACCTTTTAGGGTCCCCCAAGATGTTGTTGCAACTGGAGGAAAGTTCTTTCTTTTCAAATGGGTTACAGGTACTATTTATTTCATTACTATATTGCTGAATATTTTCTTTCGTTGAATTAATGTTGTTTAGAAAGATAAACGTGAGCTTAAGGTGTTCACCATAGTGGTTAAAGGCTTTTATGTTCGTTTTATTTTGGTGCTGCTTTCTAACTTGATTTGTAAATTTCTTATCATCGATTGTTGAGAGGAAGGAATTTTGCGTTCGGTGGATAGAAAGGACTATGATTTAGTATGTTAAATGTCTGCTTATGGATACCAAAGCCATAAGACCTTTCTTTAACAAATAGAAAGCTATTGAGTGTTTTTGTTGTTTGGAAGGGTATTTTACCTTATAAATCTTGGACAGTACTTTTGATTGGATGGCTGATGTATTATTATTTTGATTATTTGATGATATCGTAAAGTGTTTTTCCCCCCTTCCTTTCATCCACTACCTGTACTTCACTCTACATGTGGAGGAAATAAAATAAGCTCTGAAAACTTACTTCAATTAGGTCCATGGTTCGGCCTTTTCTATTTTTATTTGTTTATACTTGCTCAAAGTTTTTTTTCCTCTTGTTTTTGCTTAGAGGATACATTGAAGGCACTAAAGGAGAAGTCAAAACAGTCGGAAGCACCAGAACCTGAACCAGAACCCACCACTGAAGTGCTTTTCCTTTGTAGCTATGAGGGCTGTGGAAAAACATTTATTGATGCAGGTGCTTTGAGGAAGCATTCTCACATTCATGGGGAGAGGCAATATGTTTGTCACTACGATGGCTGTGGAAAGGTACTGTCCTGTGTTTTCTTTTCAGATATGTTAGAATTGAACTAGGACATTTCTATAAATTCCATGATCGAAGTAGCTTGGGCTTTTATTATTGTGGATTAACCAGCCATTTATCAAATGAATATATAGTTTAACTCATCCTTCTCTTTTCATATTTGGGAATGGTATTTTTTTTTTTTCTGATTTTCGTGATAGAACTTCGGATGCTAGAGAATAACAAATAGGAACATATATATGATATATATTTTGTAAAGATCAACTTTCATTGAGATAAAAAAGGAAAGAAAAAACAAAACAAAACAAAGCCCAGAAAAGGGAGCACCGTAGATGACGGGCCTCCAATCTAACAGAATGAGACCTAACGAATAATTACAAAAGGGACTCGTTACCAAAACTTTCTTCCCCCATAAAAGCAGGTGGAGGAGGAACTCCTCAATCATATCACTAAAAGCTCTGTGACGGGCTAATTGAAAGCTAAACACTCCAAATAAGTAGTTCCAAACCGAACGAGTATAATCACAACTCCAAAATAAATGTTCAGATCTTCCTCCGCCCTCTGACAAAGGATACAGCAGAATGGCCCAACCAATTACCCCACAACAAAGCACACATCAAAACTTTCCATAAGAAAACTTCCTTTCCCCTAAAAAACGGATGGAGGAACTCTTCGGTCATATTACTAAAAGCTCTATGATGGACTAACTGAAGGCCAAACACTCCAAAGAAGTAGTTCCAAACCATGCGAGCACAATCACAACTCCAAAATAAATGATCTAGATCTTCCTCCTAGCTTCGATAAAGGATACAACAGAAAGGCCCAACCAAGGGCGTCAACTTCCTCGTGAGCCTACCCAAGGTATTTTTCTTCCTTGAATAACTTGCCAGACAAGGAACACCACCGGTTTTGGGATTTTCACCTTCCAAAGAGTCAAGAAAACAAACTCCCTAAAAAGGAAGGGGTTCACTAAGTAATGAAAGAAATAACCACTAGATAAGTTCTCAAGAGAGGTAGGACATCAATATCACCATATTTGGTGAACTCCCTTCATATTAAGTTGAAGTGAGTATACACTATTTCTAGTTTTCACCTCCCATCGATAAGGTGACTTATTATTATTCATCAAGAAAGTTTCTCACGTGAATTTGTTCTCATATTCTTATTAATTATTCTATTCTTATTTGTCAACTTGTATGCTCACACCAAAGAATATATCTTCTTTTGCAGAAATTTTTGGATAGCTCGAAGTTGAAAAGACACTTCCTTATTCATACTGGTGAAAGAGATTTTGTGTGTCCTCATGAAGGCTGTGGTAAGGTGATCAATCGATCCATTGTGAAAATAATTCTTCAGGCAACAACTGTATGTTAATTTTAAATCTTTCTATATTAAAGGCAGCTGTATGCATTTCTAAACTGACTCGAGAATTTGACCCACATCTGATTAGTTTTCTTTTGCAATGCAGAAATATGTCTCACTATTAATCACATGATAATAACTTCATATATTTCCCACTTGGGAATGAGATTAATTTTCATATTAAGTTGGTTGTTGTTAGAGATGCGTCTTCTCTTTGGATTGTGTAAATGCCATAATATCATTTGGAATTCTATGAATTCAACAAATCTCTGGAATATGTTGTGATTGTGCTGAAACAGCACTTGTTGCTTACTGGAAATTGAATCACATCAGGTTTCTCGTTGTCAGTATTAGGACTTATCATAGAGTGTCCAGTCCTGAACATTTATTCCTTGTGTTCAAGCATCTATTCGGTCACTAGTTTGTGCTTTGTTTATGATAGCTTGTGCGTTACGAGAGAATCAGTTCGGCATGCAAGATAATTCTGTACTTCGCATGCATGTAGCTTATTTCTTTACACGTGAAGCGCAAACCTCTCGACACTCACATTTTAGATGTTTCTCTGTAGGCATTTTCCCTGGATTTCAACTTGAGATCACATATGAAAACGCATTCACAAGAAAACTATCATATCTGTCCATTCCCTGATTGTGGAAAGAGATTTGCACACGAGTACAAATTGAAGAACCACGTTACATCTCACCATGAAAAGGTAACAACTTGTGTTAAGTGCATTGCTTTATACCTCGTGTACTTTCATTTTCGTTCTTATACTTTTTGCTTAATGCTATCTTCCAAGGATACCCTGATATTATATAAAGGTATTCTTAGGATTTGTTAAATATTAATACGAGCCTTACTCTTGTTTATGACAAAAGTAATCTTTAAGTTGAGCAGTCAATCTAGGTAGATTGTTATTTTTACACTCAAATAATTGTCATCTTTATAGAATGCGACAGCTGAAGTGGTCAAATATACCCCACCTTTCGAGAAGCAAACTAAGGCTTCTAAACCTTCTGGGGGAGCTTCTGCTTCGGCATCATCTGACCGTCCACACGCTTGCCCCTATGAAGGGTGTGAAAAGGCGTACATCCATGAGTACAAGCTTAAACTCCATTTGAAAAGGGAACACCCTGGACATTTTGTAGAAGACAATGGCAATGCTCCACACAATGGGGAAAATGAGATAGAAGCCAGTGATCAAGATGGCTATGGCCGAAAACGGGTAAATGTAAAAAACCAGAAACGGAACAGGCCTAAACCAAACTTGAAGTTACCGCCTTCGAAAGTAGCACAGCGAAAAGGCGCAACGCCATCTCCTGCCCCAATGAGTGCTGCAGTTAAAAAATCATGGCGGGTTAAAGAAGAAAACTACGAAGAAGAAGAAGAAGATAGTGAAGAAACGGAGGAGGACCGTGAGAATGTGGAGGGCTGGGGATATGCTGAAAACGAAGATGATGATGAGGAAACAGAGTATGAAGATTAAGTGTGTAGAAAGGGGCTGGCTGTATGTAACTTCTTTTGCCCCTTCATGATTCCTCTTTTTTCTTCTCCATTTTAGCTCACATTTCTGGTAGTGATTCCATTTCAGATATAGAAATTATGATTTCTTTTGAATACCTTTGTGTTTTAGCTCACATTTCTGGTAGTGATTCCATTTCAGATAGTAGTTATGATTCCTTTTGAATACCTTTGTGTTGGTGGATTGAAGCATTTCAATGTTCCACTTCTACGACCATAATATAACCTATATTTTGAACAATGATCAACCTTAAAGAATTATATTAAGGCTTCATTTTTAACAACTTTGAAAGATAAGCAATATAATTCACAATTTTGTGGAATACATACTAATGTTACAAACAAAAGTTAAAAACTTTAACTTTTTAAAAAGTTTTAAAGACACGATTGAAATGAAATGATATATTGTCTGTAAATAAGGAGCACATGAATTGTGAGATCTTACATTCGTTAGCGAGGGAAACAATCATTTTTATGACATTTGAGTAAACAATATATTGTTTATGACATCTGAGTAAACGAGGTTGGCGGCGACATGTAACGAACAAAAGTGTACTACTAGTGGTGTGCCAGCGAGGATGTTGGCGTGTACTACTAGTGGTGTGCCAGCGAGGATGTTGGCCTCCAAGGAGAGTGGATTGTGAGATCTCACATCGGTGGGAGAGGGGAACAACGAACCAAAGTAGATAATATCGGTATCAGAGTCAGACATTGAGTGGTGTGCCGGCAAAGATGTTGGACCCCCAAGGGGAGTGGATAGTGAGATACCCGGCAAGAATGTTGAACCCTCAAGGGGAGTGGATAGCGAGATCTCACATCCGTTGGAGAGGGGAATAAATTATTCTTATAATTGAATGAAAACCTCTCTCAAATAAATGCCTTTTAAAACTGTGAAATTGACAACGATACGTAACGAGCCAAAACAGATGATATCTACTGGCGGTGGCGGTGGTCTTGAGCTGATACATGAATGTTCTTGAACCAATGCTAGTGTGAGATTATTGGGCAAATTTGAATTAAAATCCAATGGGCTAGGAGAGGTTTTTTTGATCGATTTGGGTTGATGTATAAATGTGATTTTGAGGCGATAGGGAGGATTATTTGCTTTTATTTGATCGATATTGTTATCAACGGCCCACCCAAAAGCATTGTTCTAAAAGGGAAAACAAATTGATACTAAACGTGCTACAGTTTCAATTCGATTTCATTTGATCGAGAGGTTCATTGAGTGGAGAGGTTTTGGTTGGGAGCGGGGAAGAAAGCTTCGAAGTTGGGAATTCGACAATGGCTGCCTCAGCGTCCACCTCGTCTCCTTTGGAGGAAGAGATAACACTGACGGTGAAATGGAGCGGAAAGGAGTACACTGTACGAGTCTGCGGTGATGACTCTGTGGCTGAGCTGAAGCGTCGAATCTGCGAGCTTACTAACGTCTTGCCCAAGCGCCAAAAGCTTCTTTATCCCAAAGTCGGATCCAAACTAGCGGATGATTCGCTTTTGCTCTCTCAGCTTCCCCTCAAGTCATCTCTCAAGATGACCATGATCGGGTTCGGCTCTCTATCCTTCAACTCCTCTGTTGTTGCCCTCTAATATGAACTGCATCAATTGAGTTTCCTTCTTTCGGAGCATTTTTACCCTATTTCTTCCCTTTATTGTTCATTTTATTCGCAAAAGAGGTTATGAATTCGATTCTTTTATTTGAGAAATCAACGATTCGATACTGGACTGCGTTGCTCTTGAAACCTATATGGAATCGCTCAAATCTCTGTATAAATTCTGGTTGCTGAACGCTAAACTACCCGTTTTAGATGAAAGAACTGGAAGGGTTCTCTTTCTGCAGTTCCATGTTTATTAATTGCATTTGCATATTCTTATTTTAAAAGTTACCGATTGATTTCAATGTTACAAATCGAGATACCAGAACTGTTGAAGATGATATAATTGTGGATCAAGTGGACTCCCCTGAAATTATTGACGATTTCGAACTTGGGAAAGATGAAGTCATTGACATTAAGGACAAGGATGTCAATAAGCAGAAACTGAGAAGGCGTATTGGTCAATACAAGGTGAGTTGTTTCTTTTCTCCTTGAATGATGTTCAGCAACTTTAGTTGTTCTAAATGAATCTGAAAGTTCAAGTACCTGAAAAGTTATTAAGAAGTTATGTATCCTTCGAAGTTCGTATAATGAAATATAACTTGTTAAAAAGGAATTTTGATTATAGGTATCATGAGGTAGTGTGTGTGTGTGTGTTTAAATGCTGACATTTTCATAGTTTTACATCTTTGTCTCTGTGAAATTACTGGTTGGCTTTCTTTAGTGGTGTTGCTGTTGATTCCTATTGGTTTTCTCTAGTGGTGTTGTTGATTTCTCTTTTTCCTTAAATCACTTAGTTAACTATGCATGTCAAAGAGTTTTAGTTGATGATATATCAATGTGGCCAACAGGATTTAGATGCATACAATGAAGTTTTGTTTATTACTCACAGAATGATTTACGTTTGAGTTATTACCATCTGAAAACTCTTATAAGTAGTCATCTTGACTCATTAACTACAAATGTTTCTCCCGCTTTTGTTGGATCGTAGATAGAACTTCGCAATCCATGCCGTGAAGGAAAGAAATTACTTGTTCTGGACATTGATTATACACTTTTTGATCATCGCTCTCCTGCAGAAAATCCTCTTCAACTCATGCGGCCTTGTATGTTCTATCTGTAACTATTTTTTCACTTTGATCATCGTTATTGTCTATGCACATGTTTTTCCCTTCTTTTTTTTCATTCTTTTTAAGTTCTTAGTTTTTCGAGTGCAGATCTTCATGAATTTCTGACTGCTGCTTATGCTGAATATGATATCATGATATGGTCAGCAACCAGGTCAGTTTCCATTTCCAAGCATTATAAACAAGTTATGCCTGCTGCTTTTTATGCCCTCATTTCTTTTATTATTCCTCCTTTATATGAGAGCGGTATCCACTACCCTAACAGAGTTGCAAACATCTTCAACCTATGGAAAAAGTTGAAATAACGTAAATGAATAAATGAATTTGCGATAGAAACAAATGATTTAGATTTAAAATTGTCTCGACAGTGTAAATCAACACAGAGTCATAGACACACCTTGATAGGAATATAAAGCTGCATGTGTCATTAGGGACCTTTTGGGCTTCTATTTTAATGACATCAGTTAGGGATGCATGGGCGTGAGCAAGGAAGTTAATGAGATGTTGGGTATTGGTAAGGAATTGCATGCGGATAAGGTTTGCAAAATCTTCTGTTTTGGATTGGAGCAAAACTCTATTCAAGAGATTTCCAAGTTCTTGAAAGATTTGAGAATCTTGTATAGGCCCTCCCATGCAATTGTAACTGCTCAAGTCCACCGCTAGCAAATATTGTCCTCTTTTGGCTTTCCCTTTCGAGCTTCCCCTCAAGGTTTTGTTTTTAAAATGCGTCTGTTAGGGAGAGGTTTCCACACCCTTATAAATGATGTTTCGTTCTCCTCTCCAACCGATATGGGATCTCACAACAATTGTTCCACTCATTGTTTCTTAGTCTTTATGTTCCATCGCGCCCTTGACACAAACAGTAGATATTCCATAACTAACAAGTGCATGTGTTATAATCATGCTTGCTGCCAGTGAAGTAGATGTTATCAATTTCTTGGAAATTTTCAGAATTGAACCTCTTGTTCTTTTATCTATTGTACCTTTCCTTTGGCAGCCTTAAGTGGGTTGAATTAAAGATGGGCCAGCTTGGCGTTCTCAGTAATCCAAACTACAAAATCACTGCCCTTCTAGACCATTTAGCTATGATCACAGTTCAGTCAGATTCTCGTGGGACCTTTGATTGCAAGCCACTAGGCTTGATTTGGGCACAGTTTCCAGAGGTATGCGATGATTTCAATTTACGTCCAAATCTATCTTTTAGAATATTATTGTTTCTGTGAAACTTTGTAATAAATTTTATTTTGATTGGGAATTTGCAGTTTTATAGTTCGAGAAATACTATAATGTTTGATGATCTTCGAAGAAACTTTGTAATGAACCCACAAAATGGCCTGGTAATTAGGCCATTCAGGAAAGCTCATGCTAATCGTGATAGTGACCAAGAGCTTATGAAGCTCACTCAGTACTTGCTTGCCATTGCGGAACTCGATGACTTGAGCCCTCTTGATCATAACGATTGGGAGCTATACTCTGAAGATGGTCCGAAAAGACGGCGGCATGCATGAGTAACAGATCTAGTTCGATCTTTTATTGACTTGTTGAGGTAAGCTCCTCTGACAATTTTGTTGGGAAAACCTTACATATCTGAGCTCTGAACTTGCAGTTGCTCTTAACCAACCATAGTAAATGGATGACAGGTGGTTTCTGATTTTTAATCATGTTAAAAGCTTGAGGTCAATCTCAAAATCTCAAAGACTAAGGATAGACCATTAATATGAGATTTTACATCAATTGGAGAGAGGAACGAGTGCCAGCAAGGACGCTGGGCTCCGAAGGAGGGTGAATTGTGAGATCTCATATTAGTTGGAGAGCGGAACGAAGCATTCCTTATAAGGGTGTGGAAACCTCTCCCTAGCAAAACCATTGAGGGAAAAACCCGAAAGAGAAAGCTTAAAGAGGACAATATTTGCTAGCGACAGGCTTAGGCCGTTACAGTTAATAGTACAGAAAATGGACTCCACTACTTCTATAATAAGCAACCTAGAAAATGGACTCCACAACTAATATAATAAGCAACCCAATTCTAAGCCAGGGTATGAGCATGCTCGTCTTCATTAGTCACAATTTCTTATTTATCGTTTGCTTTCTTATGTCACAGAGACGAGATTCATCCTATTCTCATCTCATAAACGCTTGTTTTTCTTTTCAGGGGTTTGGATCTAAAGGCGCTTTAACCAATATGATTCCAATTCTCTAATGAAAATTCATCAGTTGCTTTTGATGAACTTTTGTTCTCTCATGGCATAGTTTATAGATTGTGATAAATCTGATGACCATGTACTATATGGACCACATCTTTTTTATGATTGCAAATATCATTTCCTTTAGGGGATTACTTGGAGTTATATAAAGGCCGGCAGCCATTGCTTTCACTTT